CACCTGGTCCCACCTGTAGCCACCAGCACACCTGGACCCACCTGGACCCACTTGGTCCCACCTGGTCCCACCTGGTCCCACCTGGATCCACCTGGACCCACCCGGACCCACCTGGTCCCACCTGCACACCTGGACCCACCTGCACACCTGGACCCACCTGGCCCCACCTGATCCCACCTGCACACCTGGACCCACCTGGATCCACCTGCACACCTGGTCCCATCTGCACACCTGGTCCCACCTGGTCCCACCTGCACACTTGGTCCCTCCTGCACACCTGGACCCACCTGGACCCACCTGTAGCCACCAGCACATCTAGACCCACCTGGTCCCACCTGGTCCCACCTGGACCCACTAACAGCCTGCAGCTGGGACTCCTGATCATTTTGTACTCTTTAGTTTTTAACCTCACAGTCTGTTACTAGTAACTACATCGTTTTTCTATTTGTAGCTGCTGACATGTGATGATGCGTTTAAATGTTCAGGCTCAGCCGTACCGTGTTGTTTATGATATAAGATACTACGTTACCCGACTGTGGTCCACGTTGGCGCTGAGACCTTCCACTGGTGTTGAGATGAGCCTGAGCGGTGTCGTCATGGAGACGCTACGGCGTTCTGAACCACGCAGCTTAACCTGACTGATAGACATATGAAAGACAATAATCTAAATACTGTGATCAGTATGGAGCCTCTAAGGTAACCAGGCTCATGTGAATACCAAGGCTCAGACCCTACAGTAGTCATTATGGTGTGATTACACCGCAGTCGTTTACACATCAGGGATTAAAACACTACAGAGTTAATATTTATGAAGCTTAGCCTAAGTAATGAGATTATACACGTAGCCTGTGGTGTTAAGGCTAAGACCTTCTTACTGATGGAGATTAACCTGACCCATGTGACTGACATCAATTATGCAACTTAACACAACTAATATGAATATTAAGGCCACAGTTTAAATATGATTTTATCTGATTAAAACCCCCAAAACACTAAATAAAACTGACTGTAATACACATTGACGCTGACACCGTACACTGTTCTCATGATGAGCTCAGCCTGACTGACGTGATGCTCTTCTGGCTTCAGGTGGCAGCTGTCCTCACTTCACGTGTTCATGTCGGATGGTTTATTTCATTCAGTCACTTTCACCTGCAGGAAACTGTCGGAGTATAAATTAAAGAAGCAGTAAACATGTTAGCAGCTTGGACGTGGCTCCAGTTCAGGGTTCTGCTTCCTCCTGCTCCGATAGATGCAGAAACATGTTGGATATGTGGAGAGTTTAGGACTTCTTACTTTGTTTTAAACTAACTTCTGAAGTTTAACGATCAGATCAGAGTTAGAGCAGAAGCAGCCGCTGGGTTCCGGTTTCACTGTGATCCTTCCTGAGGACAGAACACTGGATGTCTGGAGGCTTTAGGACGTCTCGCTGTGTTCGGGCTCAGAGACAAACCTCTGAAGTTCCTCTAACTGAAGAGTCAGATCAGAGTTAGAGCAGAAGCAGCCGCTGTGCTCCGGTTGTGGAATCAGGAGGCTGATGACAGAGCACCGGTTCGTTTGGCTGATTTACGGACCAGGTGATGCCTGTAGCAGATTTAAACCGAGGCCTGTGGAAACACGTGCTCTGAACAAACCAAACTCCCCAAACTGAGATGACGGGATGCGGCTGAGCTTCAGCTCCTGGTGGAGTCAGTCCAATTAAAGCTGGTCTCTGCTGCAGCAGAGACCAGAGGTGGTTGACATCCACAGAGCTGCTGCTGAACCGCCTTCAGGGGACGCTTCCTTCACGCTGACTGAGCTGTTCAGGGTTCAGGGTTTCCTTCACTTTAAATAGTCACTGAAACACTCACAGATATCTGCTCACGCTGCGTCATTAGGGGCAGGTGTTAGGTCTCCTGTGTTTGTTGGACGGTCTGTCGGCACGCTGACGCGTCATCACGGAAGTTTGATCCAATCAGAGCTCTGGTAGCTCACCAACCGAGTCCAGACCAGAAGCAGCCAAAGCATCCGGTACATGAACACCTGGTGAGTCACCTGCACTTGTTCCCTCTACCTGAACGAATGCATGACGCAAGACAAACACAAAACAAATCGTTCATTGGTCTAGATGAACTGCTTCAGTTGCAGACCTGATTTTGATGCGTCGACACGATGTCGCCTCAACGTGAAATTCAAGTTTCTGCCTAAATTCAAGTCGAAGTAACTTAATGTAATGAAATGCTAGCTGAGGTGTGGCTCTCCTCATGGGTGTGAACACGCCAACGCCAGGCTGCTCATTAAACACACGACTGACTGTAAACACACGTTGATTCCCTTCACGTAGTTTGTGGGAATTCAGACAGACTGATGTCGAGCCCAGACGTTGTTCTTTAGAGTCAAAGATTCTCACATATAGAAACGGTTCCTGAACGCAGCATCGTCGATGAGCCACAACATTAAAACCAGCAGCAGTGAGCTGAGGAGCTCTGATCATCTAAAGGCTCCTGTCAGCAGCTGCATGATGAGGCAGCAGAGGAACGCTCAGTCCTGGAAGTTCTGGAGAAAATGAGAGACTTGAGCCAGCTGTGATGTTTGGATCAGAACATCTCCAGGACAGCAGGAGTTCTGCAGTGGAGCTTTCTTCTCTGTCACGAGGACGTCCAGGTGTGTTTACCTGGAGGAGAGAAGCAGCAGGATGGAAGAAGGTGACGTTCTGGATGATGTTCTGCTGGGAAACTTTGAGTCCTGCCTTCACATGGACACCTGAACATTCCTGCAGACCACGTCCACCTTCATGGCAGCTTCGTTCCCTGATGGACTCCTTCAGCAGGACGACGCTTCCTGTTGTGGTTAGAGGAACACGACCAAGAATTCAAGGTGTGGAATCCAGATCAAGCTTCAGCAGGATGTTCTTCCAAAATAAGTCTGATCAGAGCTTCCAGGACTTCAAGGTTCTGCTGCTGCTTTCTGAGGAGCAGGTTTTATGGTTGAGGCTGATCGGTGTCGGTGTTCGGGTCAGTCAGGGTTTAAAGTATCAGTTTTACCACTCAAAACTCACCTGGTGGCGCTCAGACGCACCTGAACCCAGGTTAGCTGGTGTCCATCACCCGTCCAGGTCTCCAGCGGACTGCGTCTGGTCTTCATGCTGTCTTCATCTCCTCCACTGACTCACTGTGAGCTGCTGCTGGTCCTCAGACTTTTCATCACTGTGACAGAAACCGGACTCAGCGGCAGGTCCAGGAAGGAAACTACAAACATGGAGGACGTTTGTGGTGACGGAGCTGCTTTGATGGGACTCCTCAGAGGACATGAAGCACTCGCACACTGTTTCGCCCACTCGTGTCTTACAGCTCAGCTGCCAATGTTGTGTCTCCTCCCCTCAGACGTCTCCTCACCCACCGAACCAAACACGCTCACGGCTGTTTCCGTGACGCCGTCGGGCTCCTCTGTGCTGTAGAATCACCAAACCGACTCCCTGTCGACACTGTGATGGTGCCGCGGCTCCGGCGGTACTTCCCACTTCATCCTGACGAACATTTATCAGTTTACAGACGAGTTTTAGAAAAGACAAAAAAGGGGAAGCACTTGAGAAGTTCCTCTGAGCAGCTCCGTGTCTGCTGGACGGATTCAAACTCCGTCACAGCCAGCGAGTCGTGATGTGAGGTCAGTGTTCACATCGTTCATGTTGCATGTGCACCAAGTTATGGATCGGGTCCTCCAGGATGTCGGACATGCTGAGCAGGTTCTGGTCTGCAGGGACGCAAAAGCACATCGTTTCATATTTTGTATTTATTGAATAATTGTTGTGTTGCTGTTTGCTCACATCTGGACCTCAGAGGACGGTCTGGGGGGGAAACGGGCCGATCCGCCGGGTTTCATTTGTACCGTTTAAAGTTTTAGCTGAAATAGAAACACGATGCATGTTTTCCTTTTTATTTATAGCAAACCTTTAATCACTTTGACAATCATCCAGCACGACACAGATTTGTGACTCTTAGTGACGTCCGACCAGAGCTCACCGAGGACACGACTCGACCACAGTGGACCTTCTGTCTGCTGGTTTCATTGTTACAGTCGACAGACTGAAGTTTGTCACTGGAACACAGTTGATCCCAGTTGAGCTCTGGTTGGAGGTCCTGAACCTCCTCAGAGTCTCTGTGATGGTCCCGTTGCTGCTAAACTCCCACAATGCTCTTGTGACGCCTCCTCTGGTCTCTACAGGATTAAACAGGAAGAGGCTCCCCCTGGTGAAACAACCAGGTACTACATCTGCTTCATTTTCTAAGTCTTTTGAGTTGCAAAGCAGACACACTGATTTTTAGCCACTTTAATGTAACTAGAGCACTTCTATTCTGGGAAAATGGCGTCCGATCAGCCGTTGGGCAGAAAAAACATGATCAGAACATCCGAGTGGTTCTTCTGCCCAAGTCAGTGCGACCTGTGCAGGTGTGTCAGTCAACAGTCAGCTAGCGTCTCCTCGTAGCCGAAATGTTGTTGCGTGATCATGAAAAGCTGGTTGAGGAAGTGGAGCCGTGGCAGCCACGTGTTTATTTACATGCAGTCCAGATAAACACAACAAATGGCCCGTTATCAGTAAACGTTCAGCTACAAGACGCGCTCCGGGTTCAGGAGGCACTCGCTTTAGATGCTCTTTGCTCTGGAGCTGCTTTCTGAGCTCTTCAGGTGTTTAAGGTTGAGTCACAGGAGAACCGAGGTGCAGGTCAAAGCTGCTCAGAGGTCAGGTGTTCAGTCACATCCAGCACCAGAGCGCCT